GATTAGTCATCACCTATCTATAGATACTCTAATTTTTCTGCTTCCGTCGCACCCTTTCTTCTTCAACCTCGTTCTTATTTATTATTCCTTTTCTCTCTCTCGTTCTTTTTATATTTCCTCTGTCTGTCTGTGTCTGTCTGTCTGTGTCTGTCTGTCTCTCTCTCTACTCTCTCTCTCGTCTTTCTCTCTCTCTCTTCTCTCTCTCTCTCTCTCTCTCTCTTCTCTCTCTCCTCCTCCTCTCCCTCTCCTCTTCCTCTCCCTCTCCTCTCCTCTCCTCTCCCTCTCCCTCCCCTCTCTTCTCTCTCTCTTCTCTCTCTCTCATCTCTCTCTCTCTCTCTCTCTTCTCTCCATCCCTACCAATCTCCCTTCCTCCTACCAATTCCCTTCCTCCCTTTCCCCGTGTCCTTAAACACAATAACTTACTGTATAAAAAAAAACAATGAAATTCACCTTTTTTCTGTAGGTAAGTTCCTAACCAAAGCAGTCCAGGAAAGACCAGATCTGGAGTTGGCCTTCGTGTGGAACAGACGACCTCGGTGTTACACGGTGAAGTGGAGGGCAGGTAGGGTATTGAGATCCTTTGGTAAGGGGCTAGCTATTTCCACGTGGATAGAGGGAGGAAGGGATAGTGTGAGAAAGGGGGAGAGGAGAGGGGAGTGGAGAAGGAGAGAGGGAGTGGGAGAGGGAAGAGAGGGAGTGGAGAGGGAAAGAGAGGGAGTGGGAGAGGGAAAGAAGGGAGTGGAGTGGGAAAGAGGGGAGAAGGATAGGGAAAGAGATGGAGAGGGAAAGAGAAAGAGATGGAGGGAAGAGAAGAGAAAGAGAGGGAGAGGGAAAGAGATGGAGAGGGAGAGGGAAAGAGATGGAGAAGTAGAGGAAGGGATGGAGAAGGAGAGGAAAGATGGAGATGGAAAGGGAAAGAGATGGAGAAGGAGAGGGAAAGAGATGGAGAAGGAGAGGAAAGAGATGGAGAGGGAGAGGGAAAGAGATGGAGAGGGAGAGGGAAAGAAAGGGAGAGGGAGAGGGAAAGAGAAAGAGAGGGGAAGAGAGAGAGGGGGGGAAGAGAGAAGAGAGGGGGAAAGAGGAGAGAGGGGGGAAAGAGAGAGAGGGGGGGAAAGAGAAAGCGAGGGGGGAAAGAGAGAGAGAGGGGGGGGGGGAAGAGAGAGAGAGGGGGGAAAAAGAGGAAGGAGAGAAGGGGGAAAAGAGAGAGAGGGGGGAAAGAGAGAGAGAGGGGGAAAGAGAGAGAGAGAGGGGGGAAAGAGAGAGAGAGGGGGAAAGAGAGAGAAAGAGGGGGGGAAAGAGAGAGAGGGGGNACCGGATGTTCCCCTTATCATTTTTCATATCTTTTTGATCGACTAAACATGTAAGTAAACAACAGTCTAAGTCAAATTCGCAAAAATCATCATGACATATTGGTAAAAGTCACCATTTGGTCATGTCAACTACATAAGTGCCGTGAAGGTTATGCAGAATCATTTTATCGCGAACAAAATAATAGTTATCTCATATAAAACATGTGTGACTACACATAATCTCACATATACCTTCACTATAATATATATGTATATATATAAATATATATATTATATATATATATAATATATATATATATATATATTTATATGTGTTGTGTGTTATGCATGTATGTTTTATGTATGTGTGTGTTGTGTGAGTGTGTGTGGGTGGTGTTACATTATTCTTCCCGGCAGCCCTCATTGGTTTGTAGTTGACCATGAACATAATTTTAAACGTAAATTTCCGGTTATAAGAATGATTGTTTATGACGTTTATGGCGCTACTGAATTTAATTTGAATTAGTGTTTTGTAGATCACATAATCGAGAAAGAGAAAAAAAAGAGAGAAAGAGAAAAGAGAGAGAGAGAAGAGAGAGAAAGAAGAGAGGAGAGAGAGAGAGAGAGAGAGAGAGAGAGAGAGAGAGAGAGAGAGAGAGAGAGAGAGAAGAGAGAGAGAGAGGAAAGAGAGAGGAGAGAGAGAGAGAGAGAGAGAGAGAGAGAGAGAAGGTAAGACGCCCAGCAAAACCTTCACGAATTAACTACACCCATTAACTCTCCATCGACATCCCGTCTTACACCTCACTGACTCCCAGACCAAGAAATAATCACCATAAGTACATAAAGCCCACACACGCACTTAACCGAAAAGTAGTGTCCATATTCATGCAAAATTTGTCAAAAGTATATTCAACTATTTATGTTTCCTACCTAATAAGTTGCTTTCAAGTTTTTACAACGGTAATCCGTTCATACAACCATATAAGCTTTCAACATATACAACCACCCGTCTTTAAATTACACAACCATACAAGCTCCCAGCATATACAACATACAAGCCTCCAACATATACAACATATAAGCTTCCAACATATACAACCATACAAGCTTCCAACATATACAACCATACAAGCTTTTACCATATACAACCACCCAAGTCTTTAAATTCCACAACCATGCAAGCTTCCAACATATACAACCATACGTCTTAAAACTATAAACCTATACAAGATACAAACACACCGAAACCATAACCCCAAGTTCACACGACCACGCCCCACCCTTCACCCCCCCCTCCCCCCTTCTATATGCACTGAGTGTGATGTCAAACAGTTAGACTCAACGTTATCTAGTTTCAGTGGACTTCCTTATCCGTTTTAGGCCGGAAGGTCAAGCATTTCCGTCTCCTTCTCTTTGTGTGTTCTTTATTTTTCTTCAGGCCAAAAACGGTCAAGAAAAAATATGGATGTGGCAGTTTAAGATGTAGGATACGGATATCCGGGGGAAAGGAGTGTGTGTGTGTGTAAACATCTGCCGAGTGTACAGCATTATACCAAAATGAATGTATAAGGATGTATAAGGATGTATTTATGTGTGTGTGTGTGTGTGTGTGTGTGTGTGTGTACATACATACGTACATATATGCCTATATGTAATTATTTGCAAAACCATAAAAAAAATCATATACATATACAACATGCGTTCCCATCACACGGTAAACAGCATTTCTCCCTCAATCCTCAAAAAAAAAAAAAAAAAAAAATAATTATTCTCTTCACACACAGCATAGCAGCTCGCCAAGATTGTTCGTTACAGGCAGAGCAGGCGATGCGCTCTCTGATAACGCACGCGGCGTCTCTGCATGCGTGCGTGTGCGTATGTGTGTATGTGTGTGTGTGTGTACGTGTGTGAGAGCTTCTTGTGTATGCGTGATTGTATGCATCGTGTGTGTATGCGTATGTGTATGTGTGTACGTGTGTGAGCTTCTGTGTGTAATGCGTGATTGTATGCATGTGTGTATTTGAGTGTGTGTGTGTGTGTGTTCTGTCTTTGTGGTGGTGTTGTGTGTGTTGTGTTGTGTGTGGTGTGTGTGTGTGTGTGTGTGTGTGTGTGCTGTGTGTGTGTGTGTGTGTGTGTGTGTGTGTGTGTGTGTGTGTGTGCGTGCGTGTGTGTGTGTGCCCGCAAATCTGTATTTTGTCATTTCAAAGCACGGAAAGGAAAGAAAAGAAAAGCCGATAAGAGAGACAGAGAGAGAGAAGAGATGATAATTGTTCTTTCAAGCAGAAATGAAAAGAATTCTTGTCTCATTGTTTCTCCCAAATTTGGTCTTTCCGCATCTTCACAATCTTCCTAATCGACATTTGTGCTTACCCAATCTTTCTTTCTATTTCCTTTTCTTTCTTAAAATTCTCTTTCCCCAATTTTCTGTCTTTCTTTCCTCCTCTTCGCTTAAAAGCACTTGTTTACCCCTACTCCTCCTACTCCTACTCCGCAGTCTGTAAACTTCCTTTTAAACCGTAAAAAAAAAAAAAAAAAAATAACTTGGTAACTGCCTGGCTGGTTGGCGGACACTGATCAATTCCGGAAATTGTGTTAAGCTTCCTTCCTGTCTTCAATTATCGAAAAATTAGGCTAGATTGTAGAAACCGTTATTCCGGGATATGGGCGTGCACCTGCTCCGGGATTTTATCTAGTGGGCAGAACAAGGTGAGGATAAAAGAAAAAAAAATCTTGGTAAGGTTTGAATCTCTTTATTTTATTGATTTTATTTATTCATTTATTCTTATTTTATCATTATTTATTTATTTTATTATTATATTATTATTATTATTATTTATTTATTAATATCAATTATTATTATTATATATTATATTATTTTGTCGAGTGATATGGTGGAAATCGGATTTATGATTAATGGATTTTATTTTTCCTCGAGTAATATATAAGAGAATCTGAGATGATTACACAACTTTAATACGCTTTTCTTGTTAACTTTTTTTTCTCGTGATATAAAAAATACGATTAAAAACTTTTGAATATATTAGCAAAACTCTTTTTCGAGTAATATCAGAAAAAGTAGGATTAATAACTTTTGAATATATTTAGCAAAACTCTATTTTCCGAGTAATATCATTAAAATAAAACGATTAATAACTTTTGGATATACTTAGCAGACTCCTTTCTCCCGCTAGTCATATAAGTAAAAAAAAAAATCCGAGTTTACGATCAATAAAGAATTTTCCTCGTCTCTCGCTCTCCCAAAAGTGCCGTCGCTCCCCGTTAGCGGAATCCCAAGTCACGGTCTTTAACCCACGAAAGAGACCGAAACCTCCCCTCTTATCGAATAAACAATCCGCACAGACGTATGTGACGTAAAGCACGATCCCCCCCGAGCGTAACGGCGTAACAGAAGGTCGACAACGTTTAACGTTTTTTCGGAAACGTACGGATCGGACGCAACGCCTTTGTACGAAGATAGGATACACAAGATACGTGCGTGTCATTTATTAGAATAAGTACGATTTAAAGAAAAAAAAAAATCTAAAAGCTACCATGTGTAAGGTAAAGACCGGAAAACATACCATACAAAACATGGATCTAAAAGGTACCATGTGTAAAGGTAAGACCGAAAATAACCACACAAAACATAAAATCTAAAACTTATGTATGGCTTCAGATCGTAAACGCACCACAATAATACAAGTTCGAAAACGCACTTTAACACAAGATCGGGAAAATGCCACACAAAACCAGAAAGTCGGAAACAGAACATAATACAGTCATATCCACAAGATCACAGGCTGTCATCAGTCCATCGTTGATAAAGGAAGACGAACAACAACGGATTTCGAGGAGGAGAGGGAGAGAGCCACCTAAGTAATGGGCGTGGCGTGACAGCGGCGGGCGGGCGGCAGCGGCAGGAGGAGGCTTGTGGTTCCGCGCAGTCCACAAGTCGGGTCACGTGGTCGCCGAGAGAACCATTGACCTGCGGAGCGCGTGTGGCTGCCGTGACGCGCGGGGTTGGTCCTCCTCCTCATTATTCTTTTATTGTTTCTTCTCCTCTTCCTCCACTCCCTTCTTTTTCTTTCTTTCTTCTTCTACCCTCTCTTCCTTCTCCAATTTCTTCTCCTTTCTCCTTCTATCTCCCCTCCTTTTCTCATGTTGTATAGATTTGCGTAAATAATTTACTTTTAAGAAATGAAAAGGAAAAAAATGCGGTATGCTACATGTTCACACACACACACACAGAAAGAGAAATTATATCTTCTCGAAGGATTTGATCTTCCACGGTTTTGAGAACAATGATTGGTGGATAAATGATAAATTGTTTTTTGTTTTTTGTCGTAGATGTCCGTTAGTAATGTCATGTAATTCAAGCAAAACCCAAATTCTATAAACATTTGAATTGAGGAAAAGGGAAAAGAGGGGGATAAACTGATTATAATGCTACCAACACTTACAAAAATGACATTTTGTATATACAAAATTGCCTAAAACTAAAAACAAAAAAAAGAAAGGGGGGGCATGTGAACCACAGTTTCATAATAAGTCATATTCCTTAACGTGAATTTTAAGTGGCGACCAGACCCCCTCCCCCCCCCTCCCCCAATGAGTTTTAAATTATGAGACCCCCCCCCCCCCAGACACTCAAGCACCGTTACACGAATATTAAAATTTCTTCAAATTATGTTCACTCCTTCAGGCGCAAAGTTGCTTAACTGAGATGATGATCAGCTGGGTTCTGAATCTTTTATTTGGTTGATGTCGAATAATTGATTCATTAATCGGTTCATTTATTTTATGATATTAGTTTGTGTTTATTGTTAATATGATTTCTTTAAAATATAGTTACGATAAACGAGATCGAGGCACTTAAATGAAAATATAATTGCATATAAGAGAAATGTGTTTAATCTTTTTGTTTGTTTTTGCACAAAAATGCAACGTAATACAACATATTTTTCCTAACCAGTCACCAACGTTAAACTAAAACTATAATCGTTAACCATAAACTACATACCAACAAGCACACGCGCCAAGTGGTACGGTTAAACACGGAACGATACGACGGAAAACATTTTAAGAAAAAAGAAAAAAAAAGTGTTGATGTTTTCCGAACCGTCGAAAACTCCTGGACATTTTTGGGTCATGTCCGATCCACTGCCGGTCACGCACGGACCCCTCTCCTTATGAGGCTCTGTTGGCCGTTCCTTCATAATTATCCCTCTTTTTCGGCCGAATTCGCTAAATATATATGTCGGGAACGAAAAAAGATCATGGGGCCTTTATAATTAGCTTCTATTTTTGTGTTTATTTTATGTATATATATAAAGACGATAAGCGTTGGTGGAGATTGATGTGTGTTGTATGTAGTCTAGAGTGTGTGACTTATGTGAGGGGCTTTCTAGAGGAGTTTTGGTTCGTTTTATGGCGTCTAAGGTTATAAATTCTTTGTTGAATAAAACAGATATCCCCATTATTCTCAATAGCTGGAAAATAAGTACCAGTTTTTATTGGACTTACACTGCTAAATTGAACCAAACTGTAAGGGGGGGATGCAGTCAAACACTAGAAACAGCCAATAAATGAATAAACAAATAAAAGATAATAGAGATTGAAGGAGGAAGGAAAGGAGAGGGAGAGAAGAGAGAGAGAGAGGAAGTGTGTGTGTGTGTGTGTAATCATGTTAATAATATTTATATCCAATTTACATTGGCTATTCATTACAATGGTTTTATAACGTATAAAAGATACATTGAGTTTAAACGTCGAAGTCCTGTCCAACACGAGTATTTCTGTCGCAAACACATCACGCGTTTTACCTCTATACTTCCGCGCTTGAGGGGAGCATAATGGCGCCAAGAACGTTAAACTGCAGTAATTGCTTCCCACACTATGGCGCTTCCTGGTGGAGGAGGAGCAGCAGCCTCAGACTAGGCTAAAGTTATTACTTCTAGCGGCAGATACTCGAAGGGGGGCGAGGGGGAAAGGGGAGGGGAGAGTGTGGGGTGGGAAAGGGAGGAGAGTTGGGTGGGAAGGAGGGGGAGGGGTGGGGGATGGGCGGATGCTGTGCAGTGTGTCTGGCTATTTTATGCCTTTTTTGACGCTTGTTGGGAAGTCCAGTTATTCGTAATGTTACATACTAAAGATGATAGTCATGATAAGTACTTACATTAACTTTTAAATTCTATGATATTATTTTGGTTCGCGA